ACCAAAAGGTGTTCCTGGTACCAAAAGGTGTTCCTGGTACCAAAAGGTGTTCCTGGTACCAGAGGTGTTTCTGGTCCCAGAGGTGTTTCTGGTACCAGAAGGTGTTTCTGGTCCCAAAAGGTGTTTCTGGTACCAAAGGTGTTTCTGGTCCCAAAAGGTGTTTCTGGTCCCAAAAGGTGTTTCTGGTACCAGAAGGTGTTTCTGGTCCCAAAAGGTGTTTCTGGTACCAGAAGGTGTTTCTGGAGATTCACCCTGGTGAACGAGGGAGTTGTCTCTACAGGAGGGAAGGTTCTGACTGCTGTTTGTTCTTATGCACCAAACATCTGGAACGTTTAGCAAAGACTCCTTCCTGTTCAGTCTTCAACTCTCACCTCCAGGAGAGTTTTTCACAAGTCAGAATATCTGAATCATTTATTGTCATTCACACACAACATCAAGATGTAGTGCAGAACAAAATCTGCAGTTTAGAACATCCGTCTGGAGAAACACACACATGACAAACATGGGCGAACGGATGTCCAGAGTCTTTCACAACGTAGTGTGCTACCTTTGCAATTTAGAATACACACACTAGAGGAAGGATGAGTTAAAAAAAGAGCTTTGATTCTGTGTTTTTATACAGAAAACACACAAACATATGGTCAAAAAAACTACTCTGCGAAAGTGCAGCCACCTAAGTAGGTGGGGGGGTCAAAAACMTATGGTAAGGGGAGGGGTGCAACGGAGACGGTGACATCCAGGGCAGACTTTGTGCCGTAACTGATCAGAAGACCTACAGAGTCCAACCAGTTGTTAACAGTCAAGCACAGGTCACCAGATTTCAGTTCTCTGTCTCCACCCAACACAGCCTTCAGACCGATCCAGACACAGATGAACGGGTTGGGGTGGGAGGGGGGGATCAAGGCTTCCTTCTCACGTGTCATTCCAGGGAGGTTTTATCAGCCTGCGACCAAAGTCACAGCTGTGGGAATCCAATGATAAAACATAATTATTTTAGGGCCAGCAGCCTTTTTTCCACTGCTTTAAGTCTTAACTGTGCCTCTGTGTTGCGAAAGATGCCAATATTCCGATTTGTTTACCATCTGGCCTCTCCCGAATGAACTTCACCCAGATGTTGCCTTACTCCTCACGGGCACGYTGCTGGGCTGTGATCCAAGCCAGAACCACGTCCAGTCGCTTTTCACAGGCCCCGACTGCTGTCAGGATCGTTTTCATTTTCCAATAAACCAGAACTCTTCCACAGCCGATCAGCAGGAATCCGATTATCATAAATCCGAATATAAACACGTCTTCGACGTCTTCAATGGAAAGCGGGGCAAGGCAGATCAGGTTCCACCCCCTCTAGCTCCCCGACACACACCCAGCCGCCACGGTTCCACTGAGACAGCTGYGCTCCCCTCAATCCAATCTCAGAGTGGAAAAAATAGTGTCAGGTCGGGGACATGAATCAGAATGGGTCATGTTCAGGACTCCATTGCAGGTGTATCTTCCAGGAACTGTGGCCTGAAGGTCATCAGTGCCTATTGCAGTGGCAACCAAAGACGATCAGGCTAAAGAAGGAGGCCTTCAGGTCTTGGCTTGTTCGGAAGACTCCTGAAGCAACTGATAGGTTTAGGGTAGCAAAGAGGATCGCAGCTTCAGTGGTTGCAGATGCAAAAACCCTGGTGTGGGAGAAATTTGGGAAGGCCATGAAGAAGGACTTTCAGTTGGCCTTGAGGAGGTTCTAGCAAACTGTTCATGGACTCAGAAAAGGCAAGTGTTCCCTGTCCAAGACTGTACTTGGTTTGGGTGGGGAACTGCTGACCCAGGCTGAGGATATCGTTGGACGGTGGAAGGAACCCTTTGAGGATCTCCTGAATCCACCCTCCATGTCCACCTTTGAGGAGGTGGAGTCTGAAGACTCGGGGGAAGATGAGTCTATTACCATGGCAGAGGTCACCGAGGTAGTCAAACAGCTCCTCGGTGGCAGGACCCCAGGGGTGGAGAAGATTCACCTTGAGATGCTGAAGGCTCTGAATGTTGTGGGGTTGTCATGGTTGACAAACCTCTTCAACATCACATGGGGGACTGGGACAACTGTGGAGTGGCAGACCGGGATGGTGGTTCCCATTTTTAAAAAGGGGGACCAGAGAGTGTTGTCTAACTATTGTGGGATCACATTTCTTTCCCTCCCAGGGTAAGTTTACTCCAGGGTGTTGGAAGAAGGCGCCGATTGATTGTCAAACCTCTGATTCAAGAGGAGCAGTGTGGCTTTCGTCCTGGAACAGTGGACCGGATTTTTACCCTCACAGAATTGATGAGGGGTTTGACAGAGTTTGCCTGTCCGGTCTACATGTGTTTTGTAGTAGAACTAATACTTTAGGTTTAATCCAGTAATTCATGACATCCTTTAATGACCTAAGTTTTCATGACATGCTGTTCATCTGCAGATAGAATGATTAAAGTCAGAACGAGGTTTGCTAACAACAATAATCATTCTTAGATATCACTTGTGTTTATCTTTGTGTTTTCCATTGACCTTGTATCAAATCTTGCTAAGATGACATAATGGTGTTTGTTAATATACGTATATATGAGGCCTCTCGAGTGAGTGGAGAGACAGTGACAGAGAGAAGCAGAGGCACAGAGACAGAGCAGGTTGTTCGCTGTGTTTCCTGTTGTTGCAATAAAACTCAGTTGATCATCCCACGGACTACCTTCATTCTTGGACCACGTATGTTATGGAATAATATTGCCATAACAACGTATTTCTGTCTTTGTTAAATAAACGTTGCCATAACATAGACTTGGAGAAGTAGCGGGAAGAAGTGGGAGTGGAGAGTGTCTGGGTTGCTATTAAGAGTGATCCAGTCCCTATCTAACCAAATCAGGAACTATGTTCACATTCTTGGCAAAAAGTTGAGCTTGTTCTCAGTGKTGAGACTCTGCCAGGGCTGTCCCTCRTCTCCGATCCTGTTTGTAGTGTTTATGGACAGGATCTCAAGGCGCAGTCATGTAGAGGAGGGTGTCTGGTTTGGGAACCACAGGGTCTCGTCTCTGCTGTATGCAGATGATGTGGTTCTGTTGGTGTTCGCAGCAGAGTGTGAAACGGCTGGGATGAAAGTCAGTTCCTCTAAGTCTGAGGACATGGTTCTCGGCCGGAAAAGGGTGGGATGCCCCCTCCGGGTCGGGTGAGAGTCTCTGCCTCAAGTGGAGTAGTTTAAGTATCTGGGTGTCTTGTTCCTGAGTGACGGTAGGATGGAGCGGGAGATGGATCGACGGATTGGGGCCTCGTCCTCAGTAATGAGGGTGTTGCTTCGGTCAGTCGTGGTGAAAAAAAGCTGAGTCGAAAGGCAAAGCTCTCTACTAGTCTGTCTTTGTTCCAACCCTCAGCTATGGTCATGAGTTGTGAATCATGACCGAAAGCAAGAGATCTGCCTCTCCCCTACAACGAAAGGAGTCAGTTGAGGTGGTTCGGGCATCTGATTAAGATGCCTCCAGGCACGTCTCACTGGTAGGAAGCCTGGGGAAGACCCAGGACTCACTAGACAGGTTATGTATCCTCTCTGGTCAGGGAACACTTCCGAAGAAGCAGACAGTGGGAGAAAAGCTGCAGCCAGTAGAATTATTGGCCATCAGGAACAGCTGTCAGAACTTATTCGGCAAATGTGTTCTCATCTCATCTTCTGTGCATCAACTCTTTTGGAAAATCAAAAAGCTTCTTCCATTTCCATCCACCTTTTTTAATGCGATACATAAAAATGCACATAAAAAAGGAAACATGTCTTATGCATCAAATTTATTATGAGTATCTAAACATAATTTGACTTCAAATTTCGTCCCGCTAGCACGTTCCTGTCTCAAGTTATGACTAAAATTAATATTTATATTTTAAAAAATCTAGGTGCTTGCTTGAAGTTTCAACGAAGCTTCTCGCAGCTGCTTCAAACCCCACCCAATTTAGTCAATTCAACCAATCATGTCTTGAAAAAACTACACCCACAAAACAAGAAAGTCCTACTTAGTGACTGCAGAGACCCCCTCAGTTCACAGGAAAATGGTTCAGTTGTGTGATAAAATGGGTAAATTTGTGCCAAGTTTCTTAAACAACGTTTTCTTTGACTTTTTGTAGTTAAAGGATACGCATGTCACAGGCACTTTATAATACTACTTTGGTCTAATGAATTCAGATCACAGTCCCTGGTCTGACAAACCCAAAACTCCCAAATACTCCTGGTATGCTCCTCTTTCAGGAGACAACAAACTGAACAGTCATTAAGGTTCTTGTCTTACCTGTTGGGGGAACTTGGAGGACTTGGGACTCTAGATGTGGACTGACTGCGTCTCTTTGGGCTTCTAGACTGAAATCTGTGCCTCATTGGACTTCTGGGCCTAGACCCACTGCGCCTCCTTGGACTTCTGGGCCTAGACCCACTGCGCCTCCTTGGACTTCTGGGCCTAGACCCACTGCGCCTCCTTGGACTTCTAGGCCTAGACCCACTGCGCCTCCGTGAACCTTTGGATC